ATGGAACGACAACCGTCCATCAAACACCGTGGCATTATTTTCAACCGTAACCTCACTTGGTCTGACCACGTAATGATGTTCTTCTGAAGGTCAAGAGGCTCACCTTTTATGTTTTACGTCTAAAATCACTTTCTATCCCAAACCAACACAAGGCGTTTTGTTTTGCTTGTTCCTTGCCCCACTAGCTTTATGGGTCCCCTGTTATTTTTAACAAGGACCTCAAACTTAGTTCGCAATCCCTCAAGTTTCTATTTTCATACCACGGGAACATCTGGTACAGTATGCGATGACACACCACCTCAAGTCCTGTCAAACATTCTCTAATAAGATTTTATCTGATACTTCCCATCCCCTTCATTCCGCCCTTAGTCAATGCCTTTCTCACTCATCCACCCGTTTCACCCACAAACTTAACAATACACGCACTGAAGCTTGCAGGCGCTCTATCGTCTGGTTTCTCGTCAGATCTCTAACAAAACATGAACTCGTTGCAGGAAATCGGCGCAAAATGCTAAATCAAATCAATCACAAACACCCGGGTATACCATTGGTTTATGATGTTGCTGTCCGTCTTCATATCTTTTATTGTTGTATTATGATGTCTGTTCACTTTTTGTTCACACACTGTGGTTGTGTGGTTACTGAATATTCAACTTTCGAGGTGTATAACGCGATTCCTTGACGTGACTAGAAAATTTATGTTATCTAATCATTTCTCGGCAAAAAATGAGAAGTGTCGCATATTGTTCCGAGTAAAGAGATACAGCATAATGCAGTCTTGAACTGCTTTGCGTGTTCAGTAGTGTAGAAAAACGAAGTGTGTTAGGGTTTCATTAAGCCGCCATTGGAAAGATTCAACAGTTGACGCAGAAACAATGAGAGATGACAGAGCGTTCAAAGTGATGCGCCGTCACGGCAAAAGATCAACGTCGGGCATTCCAGTCGACACTTGGGAGGCACAAACTTGAAGCGATCTCCCCTGAGGTGGATGTTGGGCGACAACGTGAGCGGCGGACGACATGGACGGTTTGGGTACTGTAATATTTCATACAAAATCTCCTCGAATCTAGCACTACATACTGGAATACAATCCCAATGGTTGCGATCCCCTGGCCATCTTGGTGACAATCCATTGTGGACTCTAACGTCTTACCATCACGTTGTAGCCATAGTTTCCAGGCTTGAATTGCTGTGTTCGGTCAAACGTACACTAATAGCCAACGTGATCAGGGTGCTGGTTTAGTAGGCCCTATCATTTACTGGCACTGACTTTTAAAGGTTTGAACCGCGCCCGACCTCGATCGTACTTTCGTGTTAATGGAGCAATTAACGCTCGACTCGAATCCACGTTTATGCCACGGTAAAACATTTGTGGTTTACCATTCAAAAATAGTGATCGCATGACCGCAGAATTCGCCCGATCAAATGCGCATTACACAGATATGCATAATGCACACAGTCCAAAAATGATGCGAAATCCACGAGATACATTCAATCAGTGTCTGATCATAACGAGTCTTAGAATTATCGTTTTTTGTCCACAATTCAATCAATATGTATGTACACACGCATGCACGAACGCACAGGGATCCACTGACAACGAAACCAAGTATCAACAACTCGTACACGAACTGGACCCGCGAAGTGAACGCGAGCAACAAGCCTTTGTAAGATTTGCCAAAACCACAAAAGCAGAGACATGGTTAGGGGGGGGACGCGAGCACAACGTGGCCAATGGGAGTGGATACGTACTAGGAAAAGAACCACATGAGTACATATCAAATAATTGAGAAATAGACGGGGGGAGTGGAGCGCACGGAGAGCAAGAAAGTATCACGAAATTAATGTCACCGTTCGGTACGGATACAGTGGAAAGACATGCGTGACAAGGAAGTAAATGATGGTGGTACTGATGTACAGCACCGAACAGAAGGTAGACACACACCACAGGTTTATCTAATTGAGTCATGCTCGTGTGCAAGAAGAGAACCAGGCTACAAATACAGTGCACACACATACCGGCCCAATCTAACAATCGAAACATCGAGATTCGGGGCAAAAATTGTTGTCAACAGAAAATGAACACGTGCATGCGTGCACGCCGGATACAGGTACGAACTCGATCGGAGAGATTCGGTCGATAACTGAACGGATGAGTGCTCTGAGAAACGACAAAACGCCTGGGTTAAAAGTGCGGAAGAGAGGAGGCAAAGATCGTTCCGTTTATTGCGCATTAAAGCAGTACTAGAATGAGAAAATAGAAGATTACGAATTGACAGTGCAAGACAGTAGTCGGATTGTTTGATTAGTCGCTTCGGAAATAGAAGATGGAATGATGCAGATCATTTCTTCCATGTAGTAGTCGGCTCGACCACAACGGATAACAATTGGTCATCGTCCGCCACCGCAGCATTCAGATTGTCCCCTTCGGGGGTGGGATACGGTGAACGTTCGTTGATAGCCACGTCGGCCGGCACGGGCAAGGAAACTTTTACAATTGTGTTGTAATTGTCTGGGTGCAGTCGCAGCAGTTCATCATCATCGTGTGTTTGTGTCGCACTAGTCCCGGGATTGATCGCTACGTCTGGAATGGACAGAGTTTGTGTGAATACAAGACAGTGAAGTAATGGTGCAAAAGTTCCTCTATTGGTGCCCAGTATACACATTTACAGTGGTAAGGTTGTGAATGACACGTGTTGCGGAAAACTCCAAGTTCTTGTGAGTCGACATAGTTAGAAGTTGTACTTTTCAAAGTTGTTAACATATATGTAAAGTGGAACGTAATCAATACATTATCAACAGGCGACGATAAGAAATGCACGTTTTTCATCTCATACGCGCATCGTAACATCATGTAGTTGATTAGGGTCAATGATAGCCAGTCCGAACTGAAGGTAACGATTGCATTAGAGTGTGGATGAAAAACTATTAAAAGTATGGTGAGAATAACAGAGCTCCAGAGAAACCACTGATGTGATCTAAACCAAGGGTTGAAACTTTTACTCTCGACGTCGACCTCATTACCTCTCCCCTGGAAATAGCTCATTCAGAAATGATCTATTTGGAGAGATGTGAGGTACTGATGAAAAAGTTACACTGCTCAGGAAGTTATGAGTTCGAATCCCACTACCATGACCAACTTTCCCCCTTAGTATCCCGTGACAGCCCTTTAATTGAACGCTTGCAATTTCCTGCCAATCATGCATAAAATTTGGTTTTCAAAGAAAGTAAGAAGAACAGAGAAGACGAAGGAAAAAAATCGTCACAGCTAATAAAGCCGACTGATCGCAAAAGGTAAATCCAAAACTTTCTGTCTGACTGTGTTATGAGGCAGGATCTAAAGCTAACAGTCTGTTCACAGATATACACTCGATGGTCAAGATTCTGCATTTGACCCATATAAGATAAAGTAAAATAGGTTTTACACTCACATCACAAGTCTTACACAGGCGAAAATCCGGCAAGTTTCAGAAAATGAGCAGCTATAGGATCAACAAGTGTGATGCAGCCACTTCAAATGAGATGTGGGCTAAGTAACATCCCTCATTCTCTTTCTATCTGCGCATCTGTCACACGCCTCTTCAACTGCAGACCCGAAGTGGTAAATTTTCGTGTGGAAGTAGAAAACAGTTGAAGGGGTAATCGAGTGATTGATGAGACTGCAAAACCTAACGAGTGAAGTACAGTAGATGTATCTGGATTGTTCGCGCCACGAAGAAAAGGCGATAATCAGGACACCAAACACGTTCGCTTGAGATGCAACGTGACTGGCTGGTGTGTGTGTGTGTGTGTGTGTGTGTGTGTGTGTAAACTTACCTAACAATGCGGTTTGTTCAAGTGCCTCATCCGAGGAAACCAAGTGAGCAGAATAGGCCAAATTAGCACTGTATCGCGACCCTTGGGGAGAAATTTGTTGCTCGAGTAGTGGAGCACGTTCCTCGTCCTGTTCCATCAACTGTGGATTTGTGGCCGAGACTAAACTGGACTCTGCTGATGAGGCCCAGTCAGTTCGATCACGATGTGCCCCGTTACGCGACGGGAAAAGAAATCGTATCCGACGCAAACGGGTGAGAAATGATGCGCGCGGGATGGGCTCGTGTCCAGCGAGAACAACATCTTCTGGAGAAGGGGCTCCAGGTAGCTCTACCGTTTGATTGCACACGGGGCATCGCCGGCGATTTCGAAGTAACCATGGGTCGATGCAACGATTATGAAATGCTAGTGGTACCGGAAGTAAATAGACGGGATTTTAGAACGTGTTTCATCAAAAAGAAATGATCAAACATATCAGCCCACCGTTTGTCCCTGGTGAAAAGCAGAGCAAAATTTCGTTCTACTGGCTCTGAAAGATATATATATATATATAGTTAACACCGGCTTGTGGACAAGCATGGTGCCAACGCCAAAACAATAATAACGATAAGAATACTGGAGGAGAGGTTGAGATACAGAACATAGGAAAAATATGGAACTGGTAAAATGGGAAATAGCAAATAAATGAGATAACAATTTTTTGTATTTCACCGTACACTTTTTGAATTTTTTTGTGTATTAGTTTGTCTTTTTTCTTATGGGGTACGGGTACGGGATTTCGAGAGGCAAACCGTACAGCATATCTCTCAGCGTCTCTAACCAACGACAATTCTCAGCCCTTGGGTCCCAACCTGGAAGGCCGGCTGCACTAACCGAAGCGAGAGCTGAAGCCAGCTTCCTTATACCTCTACGCCATGTCATGGTCTAAAAGATACACATTTATGCAAATGCAAAGCCAAAAAGACCAAATTTACGGCACATCGAGTGCTCCCACTGCCTTGCGTAAATCACATTGAGTGGTTTCAGTCGTGGTCAATGACTTACTCTGGTCGGTAAGATACAAAACTCAAATACTGTTCAATCGTGATAGCAGATAGATTTACTGTCATTCGGCTCAAAACTACACTTCTCCCACTGAGGTTTTACTGGGTTCATCCATCAAAATGCCGTGGTTTAATGGTCGGTTTCCACAATCGAACTGCAGATCCTCATGACTACGGGTCTCATCGATTGTCCTGTTCGTCATAAGAGGGTGCTATAGATTTTGACTGACCGTCATTCTAACGTCATCTTCATGTGAAATCCCTTTCATCCAGTCAACCGTGAAATCAGAATAAATCAGATAAATTAAATTTCCTTATTGCTGATGCCTGTCAATAGTGTAGATCCATCGGCCCAAACTATGCAAGTAATCTGCAGCAGTGCTTCCCGTTTTATCGTGCGCCTGCGAAACTTGGTCATTAAGGCTGTCAACGAATACGATCATTTGTATTTGACAACCGTTGTGTGAATCAGATGGTGAGATCCAATTTCAAAAGAAGAGGTTACAGGAAAATGATTGGATACCATTAGACTTTGCATGCTCCTGTAATTATTTGAGCACATTGTGTGCGATCTGATTAAATCCATCCTAGTACCGTTCTCCTGTCCGAGCTGACTGTGGATGAAAAGCTAAAGGCTTAGCAGGATAAGGTAGGTGGATCGCATTCTGCGCGCAGAGTTGGTTGCGGATTATCGACAATGGACATCCACAATTTTGGAGATCCGTGACAACGATTTGTTCTTTCTCAAGAGTCAGTTGCCGCAAAGCACAAAAAAGCAAACCATTTTGTTGACCTTTTCGTTAAAAAAATTTCTGAATTTCGTTGCAAAATGGCAATGGGGCGTTATATCACAACGCACACACGCACATGCACCGGCACATTGCCTGTAGGTCACGGGTTTGAATTCCACACATGTTATATTTGGTAACCTCTGATTCATCATAATATCTATTCGGAATAACCATTGCAAACCGCTATCTATCGACTGAATGCCTATGAATGCATGATTATTGAACATGAGAAGATTTGATATCAAGGTAAATGAACAAGACAAACAAAAGTCAAAGTGCTGTGTGAATGAGACACGTGCTGTCGGGACAGAAAGACGAAACAGTAAAACTATGTGTACCCCGGAAACTAGCTCTTCCCGTGGGAAACGATAGATGAAAAAATAACAAATAACTCGACTCGACTTGGTGACCGATTGTGAGAACGCCAAGATTCATGAGAAAATACGTTAAACGGGCGCGTATGCGTTCAATCAATCGTACCGGATCGATGAACTTGTAAACTAAGAAGCAACTTGTATAGTCTATTAGAGTTCACCGGGACTGAGTAACACAAAAGAAGTAAACAAACTCCACACTTGGAACGAAAAATTGACGTGATTCGTCCCACGATCCGGCAGAATCGGAAATATGTGACAGTGCGAAACAAATTACCATAATTTTCAATTGTTCGGCGATTTTACCTATTCGGTAAGTTAAGTACATACCACGACATAAGTATTGCACCCCCCCCCCAACCACCACATTTTTGGATTACCTCTGCTCCCACATACAGGATCATCACCATTTTTGCAAATCCAGACGGCAACCGAATATAAGGCCAAAACACGAAATTTTATCGAGTTATGCTCGATTTCGATGAACGCATGTTGTAGAGACCGAATTTTTACCACGACGCAACGATTATACCCCCATGGATATCGCACACCCAACTCGGTTCTAAAACGGACGTGATAGACATTCCGACTTTGTGTATTCGCATGGCAGCTGGCAACCGTCGTAAGTCTGCGACTAACAGAACAGTGTGAGCTACGGTCATGCTTACGTAACTCGCAATGACTATGAAAGAACAAAGACCTCCAAGTAGGCCACTACAAGGAGTTGCCAATCGTGGCACGATGGAAGAGGGAGGTATATGGATAACATAAACAAACAGAAACAGAAATAACAGAAACCATGCTCAGTTCAGTTCAGTTCTTACAACCGTTCACCATGCACTTTCGTGCACCGATTTGGCTGCTGTCTTTTGGTTAAAATAGCAGAACGATGATTAGAATGTTGAGAGCAGACTTAAGCGGGAGGTAGCACATTTTCATAGACTGAAGTTACAAGAATAATGAGTAGATGCATGAGCACCACTGTTTGCGACACCCAGTCATATCGCAGTGTCTCTAACCACCGGTGACCTCAGATCTCTGGGTCCCCAGCCAGGGAGCCTAACGGGACCTATGTGAGCCAGTCTCCTGGTCATACCCTCATGCCAGTTCTTAGCTTGACCGCCCTTCATTTTTTTCCAACCGCTACCTGCCTTGCCACACCAGCGTGAATTAGAGGTATTGTTGATAACGGAGTGGAATAGTATCGACACGGACATGGTTCGAAATATTACACAAAGTAATAGAGAGTGGCTTTAATGGCTAAAGTTCAAGGAGATTCGATAGTTAAGTCGCGGTGAAAATTCGGTTTCCTCGAAACATTTTGGTTATAACGAAAGTTAAATTGATGATTTCGACGGTTCACTCGGTTGATGCCTAGAATCACAAAAATAGTGATAATCGTGCACGTGGAAGCTGAGATAATCGAAGAATCTGGGGGGAGGGGAGTTGATATGCAATACTTGTCCCTTCCCTAAACAAAAATATATACATCGAAAAAAGCAAGCACGAAGCACTGTACAGTTTGGGTTGCTGTATTTTAGTTGTGCATCAGAGAAAACAAATGAGTAGATCACAAGAATACAAATCACGAAACTGGGGGTTAAGGAAATGGAACACATTCACGAATATCCCTAATGTTCTTAAAACCATAAACTGAACAGATATCGTGAGCTTAATCGAGATGGTCAACCTGATTCGCAGAGTCTAATTCTTTGTTCAGGGGCTTTAACAAAAGCGAATATCGAAATGTGATTTGAATATTTCTTAATGGACAGAGGTCGAAATGGGCGTGTCAATCAGTGAAGAAAATGGAAGAATAATCGATCCCGGCAGATGAGCCTGTAATTAACCCGTCCCGATGTTAGGGGATCAGGTTCTTGGTAAATCTAAACGCCTCACTTCTCCTAATTGGTGAATTACCGCCCAAGCGGTCCCCACCCAATACGTGACCGTGAACACATAAAATTAAACGAATTCCCAAACACAGAAGGTAAATAAGATTCAGTGGATTAACTTCTGATGTACGTGGCCTGATTATGCACGAGTAGACCAGACCGGGGGGAGGGGGTGGGGTGATGTAGGTTCACGGTTTGCGAAGCTGTGATATCGGACGAGTTTCAAGGTCACCGAGGGCAGAAGTAAAGGACTAGTCATTATCGAACGGGGATTTGTTCATTAAACAAGAGAGCACATTGAGAATATAATGGGTTTTCAAATGGCAGGAGATCTCCAAGCTACACAGTGTATCATGTGTGCCATTCTCAATAAGCCTATCGGTTACAATAGAGCTATCTCAAGCAGTATTGGTTTCGGCTGGACAGCAATCGTTCCAGGACTGATGACCCAATATGGCAACCAAAACAGCATCAATACAATGATCAACCCTGGCGACAAAACAAGAACCATGAACAGCGCGTTTTCTCAGCGTTTGTTGCCTTGTTGTGCGAAGTACGTGAAGCGCGTCGCCACTATTTTGGATTGAGCGTGAGTCTCACTTAATCTTTCGCGTCATAGTTGTTCGTATTTATCCCGTCTTCCAGGTAGGTTGGAGATTCTCCCTCTGACAACGGTATCACTCAACAGTGCATTGAGAGCACCTGTGATTGGTCGCGAGGACGAGAGCTGGCTCGGGCCCCCTAACTGGGTTAGTTTGCAGTATATTTTAAGGACCTTACTGACATCGGAAACTCAGATCGCATTGCCCGATATTAACCTAACGAGTATCACAACCTGGTATCTAACCCTGCATGTTACGGTTTGAAAAACGGCATTTCCAGATGACAAACATGGTGCTGTGTATTTTTTTAAAGAAAAAGCCACTAATTGTTTAGGGAAAAGGAAGCGATGTATTGCAATGTAGCGAATTGTCGGCGTATGCAGACCCACACTGCCACGTTGAAGCTTATCATGTGTGAACCAGACCAGAACTAGTGATTTTTTCACGGGGTTGATTGTTCCCTCGATCACACCATCCGCTTGTTATCCGGTAAACTGGCTGTCCACGCTGGTCCACATTGTGTTTGGTTCTACCATGACGTGCATGCTTAACCCCGGCGTTTCATATGATTAACGCCTGTGCTCTCCCCGATCCGCCGGATTCATCATTCGCTCTGGTCCTCGTTTTTCAACATTTTATTTTTGACACACGGTCTTACTGCTCGCCTAGACCCAACACGCTCAAATTTTCATGGAATGCCTGTTAAATAACCAAGCAGCGAGGTCCCGGGTTCTATCCCCAGTTAGGTAACTGGATTCGCACTGCTGATGAGACCCAACCAGGTTGAAACAGCTGTCCAGTGCTTCCTAGCTTTTCAGCTCACGCTTCATTTGCTATATACATGACGAATTCACCTTTGAAATCGAATCAAATCCTCCATTACTCACTTAAGCAGTGCGTTTATTTGCAATAGATACACACACACCAGCCATGCATGTTCCGACGATGTTCTGTGCGAGCCAAAGCCACTGTCTCGCTATTCTCCGGTTTGACTGATTCCTTCTGCTCCCTTAAATTTAACCATTAGTGTCGATAGCTCGTCTTCGGATTACGTGGGTTGAGAACCACGGAGCCTGGGTTCAATCCCTCCGCCGATCAACTTTGGAGGACCTTTGTGTTTTCGTGAATCAGTACATTTTCTGCATAGGACCGCACCGGCTATATGAATACAGAGCTTCCTTTTGTACGGAATGATATGGATAGGCCTGCAAACGTTCGCAGTCGCAAGGGGGGAAGCGCTGTGATATAACCGACGGTTACACTTCGAGTACATACAATACGTTAGGAGACAGGGAAGGTTGCGGAGCCGGGTAGCAGTCATAATCTCCCCCCCCCCCCCCCCCCGAGGTACTTGCGGATACCAAGTCGTGGAAACCAAGTAACGGTGAGAAATCAAGTATAATATAAACAACACATACGTCAAGTTGTCTATAATCCAAGCAGAACTTGGTTGTACCTCATTGAAAATCAGAAAGATGTGTTAACTAGATCAATTTAACGGATGGAATTGTGCCTCATTGCAGTAAACAGATACGTTTCAATTCTCACAGCACCGATACCCATTTCAGTGATGAGTAAGTATGAATAACGCCCTACTGAGGGACGCAATCGTAACCATCGGGGAAGCTTATTGCATTTACCATTTACTCAACAAAACTACTATCAAAGCAGACTCACCATGATGACAGGGTAGAAGACGAATCTTATCCCGTTCCTTATAGTCCTCCAAACAGATCGGGCAAGTTTCATACGGATCCCGGGCTATGTAGTGTGAACGGAACGCATGAGAGACAAAAGAAAACGGTCGAAACAACGGGAGTGAGAACTTCGTCACGAAGTACAGAAAAGCACTATGTTCCATATGTATCAAACGGAATCTGAGAAAAACTGGGGTTGAAACCAAAGCGTAGGAAAATTTCTAAGGCCTATCCGCATGTAAAATGTTTACGCATACAAATTTATTACGTCTACGTTCAGTGGATAGAGTGGTCCGATCAGAGGACAATGCATATCCTGAATGGCTATGAAGCAAACGTGCAAAAAGACGAGTTTATTTTACAGATAGTCATCGATGTAAGTATGTCCACATTTGTTTTGAACCAAACGATGCAAGCAGGTTTAAGCCCTCAAAGCCCGGTGATCTGTTCTCAATCCTAAATCTTCCACGTATAATTACATTCAAACGCACTTGCCTAGTTGTTATTTTATTGTTTCCGTTGAGGTCAGCCTCGTTGATCACGAAATTCGCCTCCGTTTGTGTTCTGCTTTTGTTCCTCCACAATGTGTATTTGAGTTGAACCGATGCACGTTAAACACTGTCCGTTCATCGACACACTTTCGCTGTTAATATTTAGACAATGACCTAAAATCCGTTTGCTGTCTTTCCCGAATAATTTGTAAGCTTCAATTGCGTTCCAGTAAACCTCCTTAGCCAAAAATTAGTCATATGCTTGTCCCATATAAATAACTATCGCAATTCCATAGTACCGTATCTGGCGCGTACTCTAACTGATAAGTAAAACGTCCCATATTAAGTTCCCGCAAATCCACACAGATGATCCGGTTCTACTAGCTTAATTTTGCACCATTTGTGATTGACATTTATGCACAATAATGGCATAAATCATTACAACCCAACACAAGACATAAGTTCCCACCTTGTGACTTCATTATTTGACGCTGATTCGAGGGAGGGGGACAAAATTAATTTGCCTCGCGGTAGGGTAAGAGGGATCTGTGGCCTATCGATAGTTTACCGATTTGAAACAAAAGGTCGTGAGGAAGACGGAGGAATATAAAAGTAACTCTCATCCGGATTGCATTGCAGATGGTATGTGAATCTTTTGGTGATAGGATAGACGGAATGGATTGGCCACCAATCTGATATAAAACACCCATGAAGTGTAGACACACACACATACTGCCTGATTCATCCCGAAAGATCCCGAATACTCTAGAGATATATTCATTAGGTTCCGTTTGACAGTGATTTCATTACAGCCATACAAAGTGTGATAACCCAGTTCAGTTCGAACAGTTTGAAATCACATGACCAGCGCCACTATAGCAATCGGGGACATCACCAAATGAGATCAACTCGAACGGGTATAGAACGAAACCAAAACATGAATATGTGGAAAAGCAACACAGGCTCATGGTGGAGATAAACAGCGAATGCATGATTTGCACTCTGTGGTGCAGGGTCGTTATTGATACGGGACTGGTTTACGTCTAGTACGGAAAAAATAGGTTTGTACTACGGTCACTGTCCAATTCGCACAACCGACATCCTTGGTGCCTTGTATATCGATTGCATGGGTGTGCGATTGATCCGGTAGTTCATCACCTTTAGTTAACCAAATAACTGATGGGTACACACCACTCTTGCATAATAGGAACCTGAATTAGAGTGATATGGGAATTACATGATAGTCCACTGGAACCTGCGTATAGATTATCATGTTTCTAAAGATACGAACAATATCGAGTTCGCCGAATCAGTCCCCGTGGCAATGTCGAAATGCACAACACTAATGCAGGACAGAAAAAGTTCACCGATACTCGAGACCACCTGACGCTTACGGTCGAGGAAAACACATCAGAAAAACCTAATCCAATGAAATTCACACAAGAATAACGATCGCAGGGAAAATGAAAAACAATTCACTCGACCCATTCAACCGAATGCTCGAATAAATATTTAGTGTGGTGTTTTCGGTAGGCCATGCGCCAAATTCTGAGGTGACGTCAAGAAGGGGGAAGGTGGAAGTTGATGTTACTCAATCCGGTTCGAACGAACTACAATATGAGTCATGGAGTAGAAAAGAACTGAATAAGCCGGGGTGATTAGTAAAGTTATCTTGTTACTTTCAATTTCATTTAGTGAATAGAAAAGTACATTGCTTTCTCGCGAAGCAGTGCTCGATCAATCAAAAGTTATTTAAGGAAGATGGGGATTCGAATACGCGACGTCCGACACCACAGCCAACCTTTCTGTTTTTCCAATAGGGTGTTCAGTTCTCTCACTTTAGATTGCTATTTCTACTCGTATGTAATGACGATTGAACAACAGCATCAATGCATTCAAAGCGGGACTATTGGTTTTCGCCTTCCAATCTGAAAGCCTCCCGTTCGATCC